CATCGAGGGCAACATGGCCCAGCATCTCCGGGGGGTCCGGCTCCATGCTATTCAGTTGGCTAGTGAACACGCCATCGACGAGCTCGGGAAGTCGCACGCCGACCTCACGAGCGGGGACGACATCCGCGCGTCACAGGCCCGGCAGAAGAACTCCCGGCTGATTTATCGCCTCGCTCCAGGACGCGCTGGTGGAGCTTCCGCCGTGGAGCGGCACGACGGGGAGGTGGTGACGTGCCCCAACGGGAAGGCATCTGCCCTTCGGTCCCACTGGAGCAAGGTGTTCAAAGCCAAGGGGATCGACGCGACTCTGCTGCGCGCCTGGACGGACGAGGACGAGGACAATCGTCCTCTGAGGGACGCATTGCCGTTCCGCGCCTCCTTCCGCCTCTCTCATCGCCACATCCGCCGGGCCATCCTGAGCTCCAATAATTATGCCCCTGGCCCTGATGGCATCCCATTTCAGGCGTGGAGGTGCAACGTGCGGCTGTCGGCGGAGATCTTGAGCGACGCATTCACAGCCCTCTCCGGGGACGACGGCCTGGAACTCATGCAGGACGTCGCGGACGATTTCAATGCCAGCCTGCTGTTCTTTCTCTCCAAGAAGCCCTCGGGGGTGGGGCCCACGGGCGAAGGGTACTACAAGCCGGCCAACGTGCGGCCTCTGAACGTGACGAACACGGACAACCGGTTATTGGCCAGCGCAGTCCGGCTCCTCATCGAACCGGTCGCGGGCCCCCGCGTGTTGGACATTCAGCGCGGCTTCATTTCAGGCAGGTCCATGCTGTCCAACCTGATCGATGTGGAGGAGGCCTCGGTACGCGCCGCGTGCTCCTCGGACGACGGCGGCGCCATCTTTTTCGACTTCGCCGCCGCCTTTCCGTCAATCGAGCACTCATTCCTACGGGCCGTGTTCGAATCCTTGAATTGGCCGCCATGGCTGCGTCGATTTATCGACGTGCTGTACAATGGGAGCTTCTGCGACATCGTCCTGGACGGCGCCCGCTACCGGGGCTTCCCGATCCACCGCGGCATCCGGCCAGGCTGCCCCCTCTCTCCCCTCCTTTTCGCGGTGGCCGCGGATCTGCTGTTGAGGCGCCTTGTCCGCGACTTCCCGGCCATCGCCCTCCGGGCGTGCGCCGACGACACGGCGCTGGTCGATCCGCTTCTCATGGAGCACTTGGGCCCTCTCGAGCGGACCTTCGGCGAGTACGCTCGCATCTCTGGCCTGGAGCTGAACGTGGACAAAACGGTCATGATCCCCCTCGGGCCGCTGCCCCACGAGCAGGTCCGAGATCGACTCCGGCAGAGCGCGCCGCTATGGGGCGCGATGGCAATTGCGGGCTCCGCGAAATACCTCGGCTTCGCGGTGGGGCCGGCGCGCGGGCAGAAGTCGTGGAACGGAGCCACGGGAAAGTTCTTGGATCGCGCGGGCGCGTGGGGCCAGATAGGGGCGTGACTGTTGCACACCACGGAGGCCTACAAGGTCTTCGTCGCCTCCGTGATGTCCGTCATTCTGCAGCTCGACCCCCTCCCCGACGACTTCCCTCAGGTGGAGGCCCGGGCTTTGCGGAAGTTATTTCCAGGACCGTTCGATTGGATCACAGGCGACATGCTGAAGCACTTGACCTCCCTCGGCTTCCCCCGGGATCTGGCCGACCTGCACGCGATCGCAGACGCTGCTAAAGTGCGGGTGGCGCTGCGCGAGGCTCAGAGGACCGGGGGCTTGAGGGTGCGCGACCGCGCCGCCTCGTTGAGGCCCTTGCTCGCGGAGTTCGAGAGCATCCAGCGTTTGGGACCCCGCCTACCTTGGGCTGCCAACACATTCCTCTTCTCGCTGGACACCGCGCTCACGACGTTCGAGAGGAAGGGCCACCTCACCGCGGCTCTCCTGGATCCACGGGCGGAGGAGGGGAAGCGCGAGGGTTGGCAAGCTCGCGCCCTCCGCGCCACGCGCCCTGCTTATTCAGAGCCGGCTGAACGGTTACTGCGACGCCGACTCGAGCACTGGCCGGCCACAGTTATCCCGGGCCACCGTTGCGCAGCATTTCGACGACAGCTCCAAGACGTCCGGCTATACATGCCCCCTCGGGTGCTGTCGGCAGTCCTGCGGGTGGGCTTCAATGGGTGGATGACGGCTCGACGATTCAGGAGTTCTGGGACATGCGTGCTGGGCTGCGGGCGGGCCGACGACTCTATTGAGCACTACGCCCGCTGCCCATGTTACCATGGGCTTTGCCGGCGCCATCTTCGATTGGACCGGCCGCCGCATGACCTGGAGCTGGACGCTTTCCTCTTTCTCCGCCCTGTGACGCGACGGTTACCTATCGATGCACCTCCTGAGGGCGGCCCCCAGGCTTCCCCCCTCCGTGCCTTGAGTGCTTATGCGCTTTACCGCACGCACAATTCTATGAGAGTAGCCCCCGCGGCGGGCCCTGCAGCTGAGCTTTTTCGCGGTTTTCTTCGCGAAGGCGCGCGGGGCCACGCTCCCGCGATGGCACTTCTGAACGCGGTGCGCAAGCGCCAGCGGCCGGAGTAGCCCGCAGCTTGCTGGGAGCCACTTGTGCCGGTGGCCGGTTTCATTGGTGATGCGTAGACCCTTGGCTGGGGATGCGCCAATTTTATCGGCCACGCGGCCAGGACACGATCAACCGTGGCACCCCCGAGGGGGCATTCCGTGACACACCAAATTCGGGTGCGATTTCTTTTCTCCGTGCACGACATTGTTCCCCAGGGCTCTGCCAGGGCAAGCTGGCCGTCGTTTCGTTGCGTGCTCAGCCGCCGACTTTCGGCCACGTTCGTGGGGCAAGCGTGTCCGGGGCACGGGTTTCTGTGTTCCAGTGGTCGCGTGTGGTAGACTTCGATTTTTTCATATTTGTGCTGAGAAGTTGGCGTGCACAGTTTTGACTCCAGGACCTTGTGGCTGGCCTCCTCCCTCGTCGCTCCAGTTTGGCATTTCTTCACCTTTTATTAAAGACTGGGGCTCTCGTTTCGGCATCGCCTCTGGGGGGCTTCCACGAGTCCCTGCTGAACCTTAATCATGAAACAGTTATCACGTTAGGAGAGCATAAGTCATGTTGAGGAGGAGGAGAAGAAGGAAGACGGATGATTTCCAGGGACTCCAAGGATCGAGGGTCGAAGGATTGACCCCAGGGATTCCTTGAGAGGGCGTGGAGGGGCAGGTGGAGGATGCGAGCATTGGAGCGGCAGCGCTTGGGGGCGTGAACGCAATGGTCCCGCGCCGAGGCCGCAGGATGGTAGCGCAACAGTTCGATCGTGGAGTAAGAACCACCTCGTCCTCGGAGGTACTGCTATTCAACTACTCCTCATTCCCCCCCCTTCTCCTCCTCCTCCTCCTCCTCCTCCATCCTCCTCCTCTCACTCTTCCTCTCCCTCATCTTCCCTCCCCTCGTCCACTTCTCCTCCTCCGAGATGCGGGGCGCGCGCAAGGCGAGTGCGATGGCGATGTGCCGTCCGAGCTGTGGATGTCGAAGTTCCTCGGGAGAGGTGGTGGCAATACTTTCTTGGGCGGGAAATCTGGGCGAGGGAATATCGGGCCCCGTATGCCAGACAAAATCTCCCGCGATGGGGCGTGGTAGCCAGAAAAATGATTGTTGGCGTTGCCGGTTGCCGTTGCTGCTGTCGTTGTCGTCGTTGGTGGTGGCGTTGTTGTTGTTGGTGTCGTTGCTGGCGGTGGCGTCGTTGGCGGCATTGATGGTGTTGTTGTTGATGAAATTGTCGTTGCTGGTTTTATTGTGGTTGTAATTGATGTTGGTGTTGTCGTTGTGTTTGTTGCCGCTGATGTTGTTGCGGTTGCTGGTGTTATTTATGTTGTCGATATCGCACTTCTGCGGAATAGTTGTTGCTGGCCCCCCCTCCGGTAACATATGCGGTTTCCAATTGAAGCGCCCCTCCCGGGGCTCGCACCCTGTATTTCATCAGGGAAAGTCTCCCTCAGCTTGCGCCCCTGGCCCCCGAGATACAACAACAACGGCCTCCGCCTGATACTTCCTCTCCATATTTGTTTTTCAAACCGCGCTCTCGATCGGGACTTCCGTGCAATTTATACCGAAATGGAGCTCTCGCGTGGGACTTCCTTTCAATGCATTCAGACGCCGCACCCTGGACACTCAGGAATCACGATCCCGCCGTGGATTTTCACGCCTCATTTGGGAATCGCGTTATCGCCCGAGTTTTCCTCGCGATCCATGCAGGACGCACGCTTCAGCAACCCGCTTGCTCGACCTGGCCGCTTGGGCCCACCTTCCCCACCAGCATGTTAGGGCCTACCCGCCCGATCTGCCCGTCTGGCTATGCCACGTGCATTATGCTCCTCGCTCCCTTCCTGCTAGTCTTTCTCTCTCTCTCTCTGTCTTTCTCTCTCTTTCTCTCTCTTTCTCTCTCTCTCTCTCTCTCTCTATCCCTCTCTCTCTCGTGTTCCATCCTCCTCCCTCCCCTTTGTCCCTTTCTTCCTTATCTGCCGTAGGGACTGCGTGGAATACACGTTGCAGGTAAGAAAGATATACCCCCAAGGGGTACGATCGAAGACGAAGAGGGCGGGTATCAAAGGCTCGGGATATACAGGTTGGCTGGCACGCGAGCAGCTAAGGGCGGACATAGTTAAAATTACTGTTGGTGGTGGTGGTGTGGTTGTTGTTGTTGTTGGTGTTGTTGTTGTCGTTGTCGTTGTCGTTGTTGTTGGTGGTGTTGGTGTTGGTGTTGTTGGAGTTGCTGGTGGTGTTGTTTTTGTTGGTGGTTGTGTTGTTGTTGTTTCTCTGTGTGGTGTTTTCTCTTTTTATTATTTTATCTCTCTATATATATTTCGTTATCTCTCTCTCTCTCTCTTTCTCTCTCTCTCTGTCTCTCTCTCTCTCTCTCTCTGTACACATATCTATATACAAAGATCGGGGGAGTCTGGCCCAGCCATGGCCCGTGCGCGAATCCAGGGGTCGGCAAGGGCGGGCCGCTGAGGCCGCAACGTTGCGCGGTCAGCTGTTCTCCCGAGGAGCTTTTGACGCCAGAGCAGTACAACGCGCCCCATCCGAACCCGCAGAACTCCTTCGGTTCCACCTACGGGGAGCACCGCGAGTTCCTCGAGCTGAGCCTGGACGACCACCGGGAGCTCCAGAAACATTGCCAGTCGATCGGGCTCGAGTATTCGTGCTCCACGTGGGACCTGACGTCTGCGAAGGAGATCGTCCAGCTCAACCCGTGTCTGATCAAGGTCGGGTCCCCCTCCAACATGCACTGGCCCATGATGGAGTACCTCCGCGAGCACTACACAGGGGAGGTCCACATCTCAACGGGCATGACCACTAAGGACGAGATGGAGGGAGGAGCAAAGGGGAAGGTAATCGAGAAACAACGTATTTCACAAACAGAAGCGTTGGGAGGACCGCGCAGACTTGTCGGCGCTAGACTCCTTACCCCCCGACACCTCTTCCCCAGTTCGCGGAGCGCGCCAGATGCGGCGTTGGGGGCGCCGCCCGTAGATGTGGGGACGGGACGCTGACCGAAGAATTCCACGCAGGCCTCCGACAGTTGCGTTTGTGGTTATTCTCTATACAGGGATGCGACGGGGGAGGGAGAGGGGAAGAGGAGGGGGGACAAAGGGAATGGCTTGAGGAGGAGGGGGAGTGGAGGCATGAGTGGAGGAGCCCCGGGAGCGGGGGTGGTGGGGGGGTCTGGACCTGAGCTTTGGGAGCCCACCGAGTGGCGAGGGGGAGGAGGAGGAACGCTCAGGTGACCAAGGGGTCCGCTTCAAAAGGAGAAAAGCTTGCGCGCCGCTCGCTGGGCGAGGGACGAGGCCCGCTGTGGGGCCGGCCGATTGGTTCAACTAAGCCTTGTTTGAAAGTATATAATAAATTAGTTCCCGATGCCGCACACGGTTGGCACTCCTTCAAGAGTTCTGATTGTTACGGGTGGCGCGTGCCCCGCAATTTACGCACAGGTAGGTTCCTCGACCGACCAAAATCATGTCGTGGGAGACGTGCGCGAAGGAGGATCCGATAAAAAAGCAGGCTGGAGCAGCCTGGCATCGGGAACGGCCCTGGACCACGGCTTCGCAGGAACATAACCCGTTTGAAAAAAGGCCTGGATAGGTTTCGAGCCGTGCGAATTAGTCAAGACGGCCGACAAACGACAACTGCATTGCAATCTACCTTCTGCTCCCACAGGTTGCAGCTCATGCCCACTACTCACCATGGCCCTCAGGAGTTTGGTCCAGAGAGGCTTCGGTTCGCCCGTCTAGGGCTTCGCCTTGGCCCTCGCTCTCAGGAGCTCCTGCCTGAGTTTTGGACCGGGGGCATGGATATCATCATTATTTGCATATCTACCTTAGAAAATGTCGGTCGCTCTCGTTCTAATGGCCCGACTGGGGGCCAGAATGAACTATATTGATTCACGCTTACTTGCCTCAAGTTGGATCCTGGAAGCTATCTGCTCAGCTAGTTTATCAGCAATGATGCTCCCGACATAGGCAAGGACCAGGGCTCCTTTAAGGGCAGATCTCTCAAAAACCATTTGCGACTCGATCTTCAGCAAGGTGGGGACTCAGGTCCTGAGCATATAAGAAACTCTGTTGATTATATTTCTGTAGGTGCTTTGGGAGATGGTACACTCGACTTTCTCGAGCCCCTGGATCACGTTGGAGCTATCTGTGACGTAGATGGGCTGGGGACCTGGCGGGGAGTCCTTGAGGAGCCCAACGAAAGCACTAAGCTCGCCGTGATTGATAGACTGTTCGTTCCAAATTGCGCCTGCAGCTTGTCTGGCCACCTCGAGAGTGGACACCTCGAGGCTGAGATCGAAGGGCTGGAAAACGGAAAACGATGCAAGCTCATGCAACTCCTCGAAAATTCCTGACCCCTTTGTGTGCCCCTCCCGAAGCCTCACCCTCACCAACGATGGTGCAAGTACGAATCAACTCGCCATGAACATGTTGAAAGGCTGACTGCTCGCTCGGCGGTGCTGTGATTTTTGTCCAGGAGGCGAAGGTGACACCTCGAAGCCAAAGTGCAGGGTCAGCCTCGCATTGCGTGTAAGCGCGAGGAGTAATTAAGCGTATCAGATACCTTGACAGACGCCAGCTCCTGATTATGTTTGCAAGCCCACATTCGATCAAAACCTGATATCACCTCCTCCCACATCTATCGCAAAGTTCCGATGACCGCTCAGGATGAGATCGAGCAGATTGTGAAGTTCTGGGAGGAGGGTAAGGGCGATGCCAAGAACCGCGTCGTGCTGTACAACTGCACCTCCGGGTATCCCGTGCCGTTCAAGGACGTTTGCTTGCTCGACATCCGCTTGCTGCAGGAGAAGTACCAGGACCGCGTCAAGCACATCGGCTTCTCGGGGCACCACCTCGGCATCGCCATCGACGTCGCCGCGTACGCGATGGGTGCGGTCTGGATCGAGCGCCACTTCACCAAGGATCGCACGTGGCACAGCATCAGCTACGCGGCATCTCTTTCATAAAGGGGGGAGAAATAGGAGAAGAAGGAGGAGGAGGAGGAGGGCGAGAAAGAGGAAGAGCAGGAGGAGGAGGAGGGCCAGAAAGGATAATCAGGAGGAGGTTGAGGAGGAGGAGCAGGAGCAGGAGCAGTGGCAGCATCAGCAGCGGAAACAGCAGGAGCAGGAGGACGAAGGGGGGGGAGCAGGAGAGGGAACAGAAGGAGAAGGAGGAGGAGGAGGAGGAGCAGCAGAAGGATCATGAGAGTGGGAGATGACTTCCCTGTCACCCTCACCTTCTCGCTCTCATCTTCCTCCTCACCTTCCTGCCGCTCCTCCTCCATCTCCCTACCCTCCTCATCAGAATCGCCCCCCTTCTCCTCTTTTCCTGCCGTTCCTCTCCTTCTTGTCCCGAGGCGCCACCCGCGCAATATCGACAGGCATCCCAGGAGCTGTGAGCCAGATAGTGGGACTTGCCGAAGACCATATCAATCTCATCATAGTGGCCACAGACGCTGGGCCTTGCAGATCACACCCAGGGGTATCGGCCGTGATGGCCCGACTGGCCCACACCATTACGTCGTCAAGCAAGGATGATTAGAGAACGCTGTCTCACCGAGAAGCCGCCCACCTGGTCAGAACCTCCGTATGCGCCATGACCGCTGGATGCAGGATACGATCTCAAGCTAGATCCATTGTAACCGATCTGTGTGCACGCGTACCGAGTGCAGTGTGGTAGTCTTGTTCGGGTTCACGGATTTGTTGCGTAGGGAGCCCGTGACAGCAATGTCACGTGTGGCCGTAGATCCAAGAGTTGGTCGCCCCATCCGCTGAGTTCGTTCACTGGCTCTGCTACGGTTGAGAAGACGTTGGGTGCGCTTCAGTCTCCTTAAGGCTGTCCTTCCAGACACGCTGGACGGCGGATTGCGCGGGCCAGACAGTGTAGTCGATACCGAGATGTCAAGCCTTACATGGCAACGAGGTCTGTAAGAGGATATGAGGTGGTAAGGAGGCGCAAATTATTTGGCTCCAGAGATGCAGGTAACCCAGTAGCCCGGAGAGTCTCGACTAGGTCGGTAGAAGCCTTGGGGGCGTGTTCAAGCACAAAACGTAGAATTTCAATCATCTTGAAATGCATATCATCAGCAACACACCCAAAGAAAGTATACGGGTGCTCGAGGGCGTGGGAGTCCAAGTAAGGGATCAACACAAATGTCATCAGCAAATCGGCAAAACCGCATCCTGTTGCAATCGTTTGTGTAGTGTGTAACGTACGACCTGGCATCATATTGTCAGAAACCAGTCTACGACCACGATCAAGCCAGCCCCTCCCCGCGCCTCGAAGGTCACCAGATCTCGGCGCCCGCCCGCCCACCTGCCGGCGCCCCCAGCTCCACGCCGCCCCCCTTGATGGCGTGGCTCTGCCTCTTCGCCCCTTGCCCGTCGCCTTCGCGCCAGCCTGCTCTTGCCGCGTTCATTGCAGCGCACTCGTGGCAGCCTGCGCTCCGCCCCTCTCACCCCACATCGCGCCTCGTAGGTCGCCAGATCTCGGCGCTTCGCCTAACCGCTGGGTTCGCCTGCACCGCCGGCCACCCCATCGGCGCGGCGACTGCATCGACGTGTGTCGCGCGTTTCTCTTTGCAGCCGTTCGCTGCTTCTCCAGCGTCAGCCCTCACGGTTTTCCTACGGGCCGATACTGGTTGGCTGGCCCGGTCGTTCCATGCCTGCCCATTCGCGGCACCTGCTCCCCCACCAGGCTTCGCCCGGACGCCGCCAGGCTGCTTTCCCACCCCAGCTGCTGCCTGGCGCCGCGGCTGGCCCCCTCCCACTGGCGCTCTCTCCGCCGCGGACGGTGCCTTGCCTGAGCGCGCCCGGCTTCCTCTCTCCCCGTCGCGCCAGGGTCTTCCCCTCTCCTCACGTGCACCGCGGCCCAATTTACATTTAGCGCGACCCACTGATGCCCGTTCGCCGGAGCAGTAGCCTCTGCCCAGCCGCCGACGCAAAAAAGTGCGCGCGCGGATTGCGCGCGGCGCGCGCGTTGCGCGCGCGGCGAGCGAGAAAGACACATACCCCCACGGGGGCGCGGTCGAAGACGAAGAGGGCGGGAAGCAAGGGTTTGGGATATATGCATTGAATGGCCCTCGAGCAGATTAGAGCGAACAGTAATATAGCGATTGTTTCCTTTGTTGCTGCATTTTCATGCATGAAGAATTTCCGTTGATCCAACCTGCCCAGTGTACATTGTATTTGCGTCAATTGAAGTGCCCGCCCCCGGGATCGCACCCTGTTTATTTAGCAGGGGGAGCCTTGGGCGTCAAACTGCGCCCCTGGCCGACGAGCTACAACAACAACAACAACAACAACAATCATTTTACCCGAACGCTCAGTGTTCTCCCCAGTGCCAGGGTTTTCTTGCGACACCAGCCAATACCCCCACTTCGTGGGGGGGCCGTTCAAGCTCTACCAAATATCCAAACGACTCTTCGAGACCACCCACACCCAGCTTCCCGCCCTATGACGTTGGGACACTTCACTTCGTGGCGTGCGGACGACCCTGGCTACTACACTGGCGTGGGGTACACACCCACAGAGGTTGATCACATCTGTTACATATGATGTGGTACACGGTACACGTGAGATGGTACGCAGTGCCAAGATAGTTGGTCACATTTTTGGGGCAAATTCGTGGGGATGCGATTACAGAAGTACATGTGTTACACTGATGTTATACAGTCCCAAGGATGACGCATGCATTGTTCATAGACTCATGGCGCTATGATCCTAACTCTCAGTGCCCAACGCGCGCGTGCACAGCCAGACGGAGGGAGAGAAACACATGTATACAAGGTTCGTGACATACGCACGGTCCACCATGTTGTAAACGATCGCATGCACGGTAAGTTCTGAAATTATACGCATGTACAAGCAGACATGCGAGGGAGAAAGGGAGATGGCCATCGACAGTTCCAATACGGCTCCAAGGCGGAAGAGGGGGAGGAGGAGCAGGACAAGGAGGAAAGGAGAGAAGCGAGAAAGGAAGAACGCAGACGGCGCGGCTCTGGACACAAAGGGGTGCCATACTTTCTCCTGCTTTCGCAAACAGGTCCAGTCACACGTAGGGGTATACTCAACCGAATGGTCTTCGCATCCAGAAGCATACTAAAGGCGCGACGCATCGTCGTCTGCGATGGCGCGGAGCGGGCGCGTGGGTGCCCGGCTGCCTGGCTGATACACGTGCGGGCCTGGCTGATACCCGTGCGGTCCCAGTTGCCCAATGCCTATATGTTTTCTGAACATCGCATCTTGAAATTATTGAAAACCCATTGTGTTTGGCAGGATTTCGACATGCGCGCGCGGCGGCCGCGCGCATGTGCACTTCGTCTCATTTTTTGCAAGGGATGGTGGCCCTCGCAGGCGCGCAACCGTTGTTGGAGAAGTTCAAAGCACCTGAAGAAGTAGCACGCAAAGACCCTTTTGACAGAAATGTTTAAAAAGTGGTGTGTTTCCTATGAATCCGCAAGAGCGCGCGGAAGGACATTTTGACAATTTTTTCTTAAAAAACCATTGGGTTTTTGATGTTTTTATGTTAAAATCGTTACGAAACCTAAGGTTTTGGAAGGATTTCGTCTTGCGAGCGCGAATGTCCACTTTACCTTATTTTTTGCAAGGGATTCTTGAAATTTGATCAACTAAGAACAAGAATTTTCATTTTCTATTGTTTTTTGCAAGGGAAAACGAGCGTCAACAAAAAACCGGATCCGGGGGTAATCCACTTTTCTGAAGCTTTCGCAGAAAAATGATGAAAATGTAGCTGCGGCCTAGGTTTTGGGCGGGGGGCGTGCACCAGGGGGTCCAACAATAATAATTCTTTTCATTTTACCCGAACGCTCAGTGTTCTCCCCAGTGCCAGGGTTTTCTTGCGACACCAGCCAATACCCCCACTTCGTGGGGGGGCCGTTCAAGCTCTACCAAATATCCAAACGACTCTTCGAGACCACCCACACCCAGCTTCCCGCCCTATGACGTTGGGACACTTCACTTCGTGGCGTGCGGACGACCCTGGCTACTACACTGGCGTGGGGTACACACCCACAGAGGTTGATCACATCTGTTACATATGATGTGGTACACGGTACACGTGAGATGGTACGCAGTGCCAAGATAGTTGGTCACATTTTTGGGGCAAATTCGTGGGGATGCGATTACAGAAGTACATGTGTTACACTGATGTTATACAGTCCCAAGGATGACGCATGCATTGCTCATAGACTCATGGCGCTATGATCCTAACTCTCAGTGCCCAACGCGCGCGTGCACAGCCAGACGGAGGGAGAGAAACACATGTATACAAGGTTCGTGACATACGCACGGTCCACCATGTTGTAAACGATCGCATGCACGGTAAGTTCTGAAATTATACGTATGTACAAGCAGACATGCGAGGGAGAAAGGGAGATGGCCATCGACAGTTCCAATACGGCTCCAAGGCGGAAGAGGGGGAGGAGGAGCAGGACAAGGAGGAAAGGAGAGAAGCGAGAAAGGAAGAACGCAGACGGCGCGGCTCTGGACACAAAGGGGTGCCATACTTTCTCCTGCTTTCGCAAACAGGTCCAGTCACACGTAGGGGTATACTCAACCGAATGGTCTTCGCATCCAGAAGCATACTAAAGGCGCGACGCATCGTCGTCTGCGATGGCGCGGAGCGGGCGCGTGGGTGCCCGGCTGCCTGGCTGATACACGTGCGGGCCTGGCTGATACCCGTGCGGTCCCAGATGCCCAATGAGATTGCCGATACGCCTGCTGGCGGGAAGGCCGGTGCTTGCATACGGCAGTGCTACCGCGAGCACGTTGTGGACCTGCGGTGGCAAGGCCTGGTAATCGAGCATGTTCGGAAGCTCGTCGCTCTGACCATACGACCGCCATACGGGCAACCACCACCACTGGTCTTGACGCGGATACGTGATCTCTGTGCCGACCTCAGGGGATACGTTCCAAAGGGCCATTTTCTGCGGGTCCGTACCCATGAAGGCCGCGTGGTACGCAATGAATACGTCCAAGGTGGCCAGGGCCCTGTAGGAGAGGCCGGATACGATCTCCGCATGAATGGGAATAGCGAGCTGACCGAGCAAATACCGCATACTGCGATACACCCACTGGCCCGGGTGGACGAAGAGGTTGGCTTTCCAGGCGACGATACCTGCTGCGGTGCACAGCGTGTCGAATACGTGCACAAGGTAATCTCGTAGCCCGCTGTGCACGAGTCTTTGGATGAATACTGCAGTAGCCACGCCGTTGCGACCCTATCTGGCACATACAGTGGTGGATCCAACTGTCGGAGCGCCCGGCATAATTTGAAAGCGGTATTATACTCAATGCCCAGGTGGCGGATGGCAGAGCCGTGCTGCTCCTCCAGCTCCTTGGCGCTAGAAATACTGACCGTGCCAGTCACAACCCGATACTTGGCCCACCAAGTCTTGCACGCCTGGTGACTAGCATTGATACCCTTTGCCCGGAGCGCCTGATGCAAATAATACGCACTCTCGCAGTCGGCCAAGGGAGGCCGCGACAGCTCAGGGCCATACTGCTCGTGAAGGTCTTTCGCCGTCAAAGCCATGATCCAAGAACACAGGCGATACCTTGATCCGAGATGGCTACGGATATGTGCGTCAGCAGTCGGGGGCCTTCCTGGGGCCGCTTGGGGTCCTCTTGGGGAAGGGGGGAAGCCTCCTGGCGCGGTTTGGGGTCCACTTGAGAGCCTTTGGGGGGCTCCTTGGAACCATCTTGGGGCCTCTTGGGGGCTTATTGGACCCTCACGGCGGACTCTTGGGGCCTCTAGAACGCCTCCTGGGGCCATCTTGGGGGTCTCTTGGAGCCACCTTGGAGCCTCTCTGGAACCTCTTGGGGGCCTCTTGGAGTCCTCTTGAAGCCTCTTGGGACCATCTTGGGCGCCTCTTTGGGCCTCATGGACGCCTCTTGGGGCCATCTTGCGCGCCTGTTGGGGCCATCTTGGGTTTTAAAGATTCATCAAGAGACCGCGAATGGATTTCGAGATTTTTCGGATGAGAAAGTAGTGCGTTTTCATATGTTTTCTGAACATCGCATCTTGAAATTATTGAAAACCCATTGTGTTTGGCAGGATTTCGACATGCGCGCGCGGCGGCCGCGCGCATGTGCACTTCGTCTCATTTTTTGCAAGGGATGGTGGCCCTCGCAGGCGCGCAACCGTTGTTGGAGAAGTTCAAAGCACCTGAAGAAGTAGCACGCAAAGACCCTTTTGACAGAAATGTTTAAAAAGTGGTGTGTTTCCTATGAATCCGCAAGAGCGCGCGGAAGGACATTTTGACAATTTTTTCTTAAAAAAACCATTGGGTTTTTGATGTTTTTATGTTAAAATCGCTACGGTTAAGGTTTTGGAAGGATTTCGTCTTGCGAGCGCGAATGTCCACTTTACCTTATTTTTTGCAAGGGATTCTTGAAATTTGATCAACTAAGAACAAGAATTTTCATTTTCTATTGTTTTTTGCAAGGGAAAACGAGCGTCAACAAAAAACCGGATCCGGGGGTAATCCACTTTTCTGAAGCTTTCGCAGAAAAATGATGAAAATGTAGCTGCGGCCTAGGTTTTGGGCGGGGGGCGTGCACCAGGGGGTCCAACAATAATAATTCTTTAGAAGTAATAGAAGTAATAGTGTTCAACAACAATTACTAGCACGTGGGGACACTCCGTTCTCACCAGTGCCAGGGTTTTCATAGGAGGCGGGCAATACCCCCACTTTGTGGGGGGGCCGGTTCAAGCTCTACCAAATTTCCAAACGACTCTTCGCCACCACCCACACCCAGCTTCCCGCCCTATGACGTTCGGACACTTCACTTCGTGGCATGCGGACGACCGTGGCTACTATTCAGGGCCCCGCGGCCGACGACGACGGCGTGCGCGCGCGAAGAAAAAACGAATGTGTCCCGCATGGTATTATTTGACAGGGATGATGGCCCTGGCAGGTGCGCAACCGTTGTTGCAGAAGTTCGAAAAAGTTGCTCGCAAAAGCCCGTTTGACAGAAATGTTTAAAAAGTGTTGGGTTTCCTACGAATCCGCAAGAGCGCGCGGGATGAAATTTTGACATTTTTTTTTGAAAAACCATTGGTTTTTTTTTTTGATGTTTTTATGTTAAAATCGCTACGAAAACTAAGGTTTTGGAAGGATTTCGTCTTGCGCGCGCGAATGTCCACTTTACCTTATTTTTTGCAAGGGATTCTTGAAGTTTGGATATGTTAGAACAAGAAATGTCCACTTTAGCTTTTTTTTGTGCTGGGAAGTTTGTAGTTTTACATATATATGTGATTATAGAGAATATAATCAGACTGTCCTGGAGGATCCAGGAAATCCTGCAGCCCTTTGTTGCTCGAGGAAAAGAGCGACCCTCACCTCCCCCCTTTCTCCGTGAGGGGGGTGGGTGCACGTGCATGGTAGCGGAGCTCGCTTGAGGTTCGCGGGCCGCTCCGCACCCAGGCGAGCTCCAAGAGCCCCTCGAGAGGGCCCAGCGGCGCGACGCCGCGGGTCCGGCAGCCAGCGGGACGATCCACGCGGCCGCCGAGCAGAGGACCCCTTGCTGGTCAGAGCTGCGGTCAGACCCGCGCTCTGACAGCGGTGGCCAGCCAGCCAACAAGGGCAAGGGCAAGGCCACGCTGAAGGCCAAGAAGCCGAACAAGCGAGGAGGCAGAGCGGCGGACACGCGTGAGCACCGCCAGCTACGAGGGACCGCTTTTAGGAAGCTTGCGGCGTGCGGCAGCAAGGCGAAGCTTACTCAGGAGGAGCGAGCAGCGGTGAAGAGGCAGCTGGCGAGCGACATCGAGAGGCTGGAGAAGCGTGTCACTGACGTGCTCGACACCCAAGATGGAGCAGCAGCTGCAGCAACTGGTCGATCAAGTTCAGAGGCTGACGACGGAGAGTCAGAACATGAGGCAGGAGCTTCAGAACAGGGACGTGCAGATCGCAGAGATGAGAGGACAACTGCAGGGTCAGCAGCAGGCTCAGCAGCAGGCTCAGCAGCAGCGGGTAGCCCCGCGCGGCGAGATGATGGATCCGAAGATCCTTCACAAGGTGAAGCCGTTCGACGGCCAAAGGTCAAGCTGGAAGACGTTCAGCTTCCAGTACAGAGCGTACCTGATCGCCCAGGATCGGAGGTACCGAGATCTTCTGGAAAGGTGCGAGGACGGAGCCCAGGAGGTGGACAACGTCAACCTGGACCCGCAGGAGGAAGAACTCAGCACGCAGTTGTACTACGGCCTGGTCCTGGCCATGCCCGAGGACTCGGTGGGCGAGCTGATCGTGAGGAACAGCCCAGTAGGAGAAGGAGCCGAGTGTTGGAAGAAGCTTCAGAAGGAGTACAACCCGAGCGAGGCAGGCAACGTGCTGGCGATGTGGACCAAGCTCACGGACACGAAGCTCGACACCAAGGAAGACGTGATGGTGAGCATCAGCAAGCTGGACGAGGACATGGCGAGGTACCAGAAGATGGCAGGAGAGCCCGTCTCGGACCTGATCAAGCGCGGCATCCTCACAAAGGCGCTGAAGGATCACGACGAGCTCCAGAAGCACGTGTTTCGGAACAGCAGTCGGTTAAGTACGTACGAGCTTCTGAGAGCCGAGGTGGTGTCGGCGTTGGCGGCAGAGCGAGCGGTTCAGGACGACCCGATGGAGATCGGAGCGCTGAAGGGCGGAAAGAGACCGTGGAAAGGCCGCGGCAAAGGGAAAGACGGAAAAGGCAAGGAGAAGCCACCGAATCCCGACGCCGAGATCGAGTGCCACTACTGCCACAAGAAGGGTCACCGCAGCGCAAACTGCCGAAAGCGGATCGCCGACGAGAAGAAGACACCCGAGAAGGACAAGAAGGACAAGAAGCAGTTCCGAAAAGAAAAGGCAAAAGAAAAGAAGAAGATCGGGGCAGCGGCAGTCAGGGAGCTCGAAAGGTTACGACAGACAGGAGTGGGCACAGGATCAAGCTCGACAGCACCGACACAACAGATGCTAGGAAGTCAGGGAAGCGCCGACAGCGCGATGACTCAGCAGGTGCTGCGCCCAGTCAACTGTGCGCTGCGAGCGAAGATGATTCTTGCCCTGAGGGCAGAGGTCACAAGAAGCGCAGCCACACGATCGACTGGAAGTACTGCTTGCCTAGCTACTACCAATATGTGTGCTGCTCTTGCAAGAAGACCTTTGAAGGACGGCGATGGCACTACGATCAGTGGAAGCTGGACTACTGTGCCGTGTGTGCCGAGTACTGCCTGGACGGCCTCAAGGACGGGGAAGAGACAGACGACGACAAGAAGCCAAAGAAGCGCAAGAAAGGCTAGATTCGTCGCTGACGACCGTCAGTGCTGCGATATGCCAGCTGCGGTGAGCCCCGCGCTGGCCGGACCCAGGCCTGTTACCATCGCTGGTCTTCGGCCCGTGGATGAAGATCAGAGCCCTGCGGATGACCGATTGCGGTTAGCCCCGCTTCGGAATGCGATCATGCTCGATTCAGGTGCGCAGATCAGTGCGATACCGAGGTCACAGGTGACCAAGCACAACTACACGCCGACGGACAGCAACGTTGTCGGCTTGAAGGGCATAGGAGGCGAGGAGATCGAGAGGTACGGCCACGTGGAGCTGAACCTATCCCGAGGAGGAGAGGTTATTCAAGTCGGTGCTGAGGTTGCCGATGTGGAGTACCCAGTTGTGGCTACAGACGCTGTAGTACAACGTGGTCAGAGTGTTCTTCATAGCCCTGCAGGTCACTGGATCATCAACGGTACCATCGAGCCACCTGATGGAGCTGAGTTCGTACCTCTACGTCGTCACCAAGGCAACTACTACTTAGAGTACGATCACATCATCGACGGCCAGACTCAACCAGAAGCTTCAAAGGTAGCTGCGGTACGAAAGACACTACCAAGGAAGGTACCAGCTGAACAGGAAGCTGGAGCTTTGCCGAAGGTTCTAGGTCCCGAAGCTGATGAGACCACAACTGTGCCAACGAGAGTGTTGAAGACTCCTCACCAACCTAGTGCTGCGGAGAGAGCCGCGCACGAAGGGCATCATCTACCTTTTCGACCTTGGTGTCCCATCTGCGTGCAGGCTCGAGCAGACGATGACCCCCACCACGCTCAGGAACCAGCTGATGAGAACAAGATCCCGAAGGTGGTGTTCGACATCTTTTACGTAGGGACGGACCAGCTGGCTGCGAAGTACAAGCTTAAAGGAGGTTACTTCAGCATCAGGGAGAAGACGTCGGTCACGAAGGCCGAGTTAGACCAAGCGGTCTCTGTCTTGAATGTTATCGACTGTAAGATCTTGGCTCAGGCGACGTTGTACGCGAACAAGGAGACGGATGACTACAAGGTGTCCTTCCTGCTAGGCGTGCTGGAAGCTTGGGGTCACACAACAGTCATACTTCAGACAGACCAGGAGCCTGCCACCATGGCTCTGGCGCAGGCAGTTCGAGATCGCAGATCACACTCAACCTTGGTGCGGGGATCACCGCCCTTTTCCAAGCAGAGTGCAGGCTACGCTGAAGGAGGTAACAAGCTAGCTGCTGGTCTACTTCGAGCCTACAAGCTGAAGCTGGAGCACAAGCTGGGCAGCGAGATCAAGATGACGGATCCGATCGTGCCATGGCTTGTGAACTCAGTGGGGTGGATGATCACCAGATTCCAGCCTCGCAGTCACGGAGGTTCCTCCTACAAGATGCTCTACGGCAAAGAGTACAACGGCGAGATTGCGGAGATGGGTGAGCAGGTCTGGTATCGGATCTCAGCCCGAGTTGCCGCGGGACGTGGCAAATGGGAAGCCCGCTTCGCAAAAGGAATCTGGGTTGGTAAGAGCGAGCTGGACGACACACATCTCGTGATCGATCCTGAACGTGGAGTGCAGAAGGTGAGAACGGTGCGAAGGATGCCTGAGGAGTTCAGGTGGCAGCCCGAGCTCATCCAGCACATCAGGGTGACGCCCTGGAAGCAGACGCCCGACAAGAGTTCAGGAACGATCGGACGCAGCATGTACATCACGGAGCGCATGATCGATGCTCATGGTCCTACCGACGATTGCAGGAAGTGCAGTACAGGATACGGTTCGCATTCGGCAGCCTGCCGACAGCGTTTCGAGACCATTCAGACCGACTTGCTGCGCGAGAAGTTGGCGAAGGACCCTGTGGCCCCTGAGGCTACAGTCGTGGTGCCAGCGCCGGCTGCGGGAAGCCCCGCGCCTGGAGCCGCACCCGGAGGAGCAGCGGCATCAAGCAGCAGAGAGGTTGCGGTGAGCCCCGCACCTGCTGCCAGTGACGTAGCTATGGTTCCTGGCCCAGGAGAGGCTGAGGTGCAGACAGCCATGGACACGGAGAGTGGAGAGCTCAGGAGCGACTTTCGGCGAAGCGCCCCAGGTGAAGTTCATGAAGGAGCTGAGGTCAAGAAGCCCAGGGTAGCAAGCATTGGGCATCTCTCTGTCTGTGAGTTGGCAGTCTGCGAGGAGGGCTACGACGAGAGCTTCGACCCCATGTGGGATCCACACCCAAAGCGCAGTGCGAGATGTTCCGAGAGGTGTGAGAAGCACTCATCACGATGCCAGCTACGAGAATGCCACCAAGCTGAGTGTGCATGCAGGAGATGTTTGATGAGCCACATCGGCACAATCAGGAGCCACTTCGGAGATCCTGAGGAGCAGCAGGTGGAGCAGATGGTTGAGGTGAGCGCCGAGCTGCATGAGAAAGACCAGTGGAGCCCAAAGACGATACACTACGATTACTACACTGGAGAGCCTCTGGATGAGGACCTGTATCAGAAGGGTCGCGACGACGAGCTGCAGGCCATGAAGGACTATGGGGTCTACGTGGAAGTGGCGACATCGACGGCGACCGACGGCAAGCACATTGGAGGGTTCCCGATAGCCCACATGAAAGAAGGAAAGGTCAGGTGGAGGTTCGTAGCAACCGAGGTGAACAAGTACGAGGTCAGGGAGGACAACCACCAAGGCACGCCCCCGCTCATGATCGTCAGAGCGACGCTGAGCCGTGCCGCTTCAAGTCCAACTTCCAGCGGGCAGCACCTGCGGAAGATACAAGTCTGGGACGTCAGGAAGGCTTTCTTCAACGCTGACTTAGACGAGACGATCTACGTGCATCCTGGGAGAGAGCTGTGTCCGCCTGGAAGGTGCTGGTGGTTACGCAAGGCCATGAACGGTACCAGGAAGGCGTCGCAGATGTGGGGTGAGCTTGTGAGAACTACTATGGACGACGGCCATTGGGAATGCTTGGTTGGAACTCCTAACGTGTTCTACTTACCTGCTAGCCCCAACACAGCCCCCTTCGACGAGGATAGCACAGCGATCTGCATGGCGATGACTTTCTTGCTGAGGGCTACGACGAGCAGCTGGACGAGCTGGACGAGTTGTTGAAGCAGCAGTTTGAGGTCACGGCCAGCGCCAGACTTGGACCAGGAGCGGTGGGGCAGACTACATACCTCAAGAGGACGATCGGCTACACCGACAAGTTGCCAGGTTGCGAGGAGCCAGGTTTCTTCTGGACTGCCGATCCTAAGCATGTGGACTTCATGATCAAGTGGACGCAGAAGCGAGGTTGTAAACCAGCTCCCACTCCAGGGACGAAAGCTACAGGACAAGGCCGACGAGACAGCCTAGACCTTCTTTCCAAGGATCGTGCTCGAGAAGTGGCGGGTGCAGCTGGCACCGCTCTTTACCTTTCTTCGGACAGGCCCGACACGATGTACGCCAGCAAGACAGCGATGCAGCACGTCTCCAACCCGAACGTCTTGATGCATGCGCGTGTTCAGCGACTTGGAAGGTACTACGAAGGACAGCCTGTGTTGGTCTGGTGTTACCCACTTCAAGGTACTCCTGAAGGCATTCGTGTAGATGGTGACGCAGATTGGGCACCTACGAGTGAACTACAGCGGCGATCTACCAGTGGAGGAGCTGTGAGGTATGGTGATCACACTTGGGACTGCTACTCAGTGACGCAGAGTACGATAGCCCTAAGTTCAGGGGAATCCGAGATGTACGCTACGGGAAGTGCGACAGCCAGAGGACTTCAGTGTAAGACGTACCTGATCGAGACCCAGAGGCCCTGCAACCTGAAGATCTATAGTGACAGCACAGCTGGACGTGGCATGTGCAGTCGAGTTGGGGTGGGCAAGGTCAGGCACCTGGAGTTGAGGTACTTGTGGATTCAGGAGCGGTTGCGTCTCAAGGCGTTCGAGCTGCACAAGGAGGACACCAGCAAGATGACAGCCGACATGCTCACGAAGTACAGCGAGTGGCCGACAATCGAGAAGCATTGCACCACTCTCAACCTCAGGTTCGGAAAGCAGTTGAAGGGCTTGAGCGCAATGGCAGTTTTCACGGAGGTCGTGACGAAGGCGTCAGGCGAGAAGGTGACAGTGTACGGAGGTTCTGACGAGGTTGCGGTTTGCCCCGCGCCTGTCAGCCACTACGTGGACAGCGAGGAGTTCTGGTTCTTCCTGAAGTTGGGACTAGTTGTGGTGACTGCAGCCAGTGCTTTCTTACTGGGGTGCTGGTGTGGTTGTTACTTCAAGGACTTATACGACAAGTTCCTCCTCCAGGGTGCGGTTGACCCCGCCTCTGGAAGCACGTGTATACCATCTGCGCGGGCTGAGGCCGAGTTCAAGACCGTGTGTGTACAGCAGGACAAAGGAGCAAGGCACAAGCTCTTAAGCACGTTTCTTGTAGCTGAGCTGCGAGCTGTCTTGAAGGCCAAGAGCCTGGCCGTGTCAGGGATCAAGGAGGACCTAGTCACGAGGATGATCAAGCACGGATGCGTTCTGTCGGATCGCCAGGCCAAGGAGATCGAGCAGCTGCGAGTGATGGCTACAGCGCGAGGACCTCTCACCAAGCTCAGCTTGCAGGACATCAGCAGTCCAGAGGCCGCGCAGAAGTGGATCGAGACGTTCAAGAGCGAGTGCAGAGACCGTTCCAGAGGCTCTCAGGTGATCCACGGAGAGGGCTAGGAGAATGGTCGCAGGAAGCACTACGACAGCCGAAGGTGAGCTTTCTTTTACAGGCTGCGGTTTGCCCCGCGCCTGCCCTCTGCGGGTAGCCCCGCGATGGGCTTAGGCGGGCAGCGCCGTTGCGAAGCCTGCTCAGGGAGCACAAAGTGGTTTCCCTGTGGCTCACGTTTCTCGACTGGAGGCCGAGCCGCTTCCAGCGCCCAAGGAGAGGTGCTGGGAAGTTTGTAGTTTTACATATATATGTGATTATAGAGAATATAATCAGACTGTCCTGGAGGATCCAGGAAATCCTGCAGCCCTTTGTTGCTCGAGGAAAAGAGCGACCCTCACCTCCCCCCTTTCTCCGTGAGGGGGGTGGGTGCACGTGCATTTTGCAAGGGAAAGCGGGCGTCAACAAAACAACCGGATCTGGATCACATCGTTTTACCTGAGGCTTCCTCACGAAAATGATGAAAATGCGGCTGCGGCCTAGGCGCGGCGGGGGGGGCGCGCACCAGGGGCCCCAACAATAATTATTCTTAAGAAGAAATAATGTTCAACAACGGTTCCCGCCTGAAACAAACGCGCGGCGCGTGCGCGGCGCGCGCGCGGGGAGCATGCAGCGCGCGTGCGCGTGCGGCGCGCGCGCGGCGTGCGCGCGGCGCGTGCGTGGTGGTGTGTGGTGGTGCGTGTTGGTGTGTGGCGTGGCGTTGTGTGGTGTGGCGCGGTGTGGTGTGGCGTGGCGTGGCGTGGTGTGGTGTGACGTGGTGTTGCGTGGCGTGGCGTGGCGTGGTGTGGTGTGGTGTGGCGCGGTGCGGCGTGGTGTGGTGTGGCGTGGCGTGGCTCGATGTGGTGTGGCGCGACGTGTTGCGTTGCGTTGTATTGTGTTGTGCTGTGTTGTGCGGTGATGTGTTGTGGTGTGTTGTGTTGTGTTGTGGTGTGTGATGTCGAGGTGTGGTTTGGTAGGGTGGGGTGGGGTGGGGCGTGGCTTGGCGTGGTGCGGCGTGGTGTGATGTGTGTGTGTGTGTGTGGGTGTGTGCGTGTGCGTGTGCGTGTGCGTGTACGTGTGCGTGTGCGTGTGCGTGTGAGTGTGCGCGTGCGTGCGTGTGTGTGTTCGTGTGCGGGTGCGTGTGTGTGTGCATGGTTGCGTGGGTGCGTTGGTGCGTGGGTGTGTGCGTGTGTGCGTGTGTGCGTGTGTGCGCGTGTGCGCGTGTCCGTGTGTGCGCATGTGCGTGTGTGCGTGTGTGCCGTTGTGCGTGTGTGCGCGTGCGCGCGCGTGCGTGCGTGCGTGCGCGCGCGCGGGCGGGCGGGCGGGCGGGCGGGCGGGCGGGCGGGTGCGAGCGCGCGCGCGTGCGCGTGGCGGCCGCCACCCCGCGTGGGGCCAGCCATCTTTGTTTCCTCTTTTTCGGACACTGCGCGCCCCGCGAGGGGCGCCCGACGCGCTGGCAAGTCGCCGTGCAACTACGTTTGAAAAGTGCGCGCGCGTGCGCGTGCGCGCCCCTGAGGGCACCCCCATACGCGGGGTGTCGGGCCAATGCGCCCCCTGAAGCGGGCATTGAGCCCAGCCTTCGAGGTCCAAACCCCTGCACCCGGGCGTTTTTCCCCGGGGGGGTCGGCAGGTCCCGTGTCCTACCCCAGGGCGGCGCGTGAATCCATTCCCCGCGTTCGCCACTTTGGGCGAAGTTCGGCAGTCGTTCTCCCTCCCCCCCTTTTTCCCCCCCCCCTCTCCCCGCCCACTCCCCCTCCACCCCCCTCCCGCATCACCTTTTCCACCCCTTTTTGTTTCGGTCCCGGGATCCAGACTTTGTCTTCCATTTGGGCATGCGGGGGCTTTGGCCGGTCTGTTCCGCTCCCATCGTGGGTTGGGCACTTCGGCGGGCTCTCCGTTTGCCCGTTGGGTTCGGCGCCGGCTCGCTGCGCCGCCTGTATCGGCGGGATAAAGCTTGATTTGGTGTCGTGCTCGCAGGTCCGCCGCTTTTGGGGTATATGTCAGATGCTGCAAGCGCTTGCGCGGACTCGTGCGCAGCGCTTCTGTGATGCCCTGGTGGTATGTGAGAATCTCTACATACGTCAGCCGAACGCTGGCTATCACCTACCGAACTTTACCCCGGTGCGACGATTCGAGGCAGTTGCTGGACGAAGGCGTGGGCACCAAGCCCCATCGCGTAGTTGGCGACGACGACGACGACGACGTCGACGACTCCAACGGCGCCGACGGTGACTCCGACGACTCCAAAGAACGACGACTCGTACGGCGACTCCGGCACTGACCACGACGGCGACGATTCCGACGAAAGTTCGAGCGATGAGCCTGACGGCGACTCCGATGCTTCCGACAGTTCCGAGGATATTGATTCCGCTTCTGGCAACGACGACGAGTCCGACAACGACGCAGTCGACGGCGACGACGACGACGACGGCGGCGACGCCGGTGACGGCGACATACGACGACGACCCCGAAGAAGTCCGCCTCTGACTTCGATTCCGACGACAACGAGTTTGATGACGACGACGACGACGACGACGACGACGACGACAACGGCGGTTCCGACTCCGATTCCGATGACTCCGACCACAATTCCGAGATCATTCGACAACGACGACGATGACACCGACATTCAGACGACTCCGACTCCGACGACAACCTCCGCGACGGCAACGACAACGACAACGACGATTGCGACGACTCTGGCGACGCTTTCGGCGACGACGAAAATTCTGACGATGACCCCATCGACGCCGACGACGGCTCCAAATGTCTCCAACGTTTCCAACCCCGAGTGCGACAATTGTTTCGGCAAGTCTCATGACGATTGCGGCGATGACTCCGACGGCGACGAGTTACGACTCTCGCCGACGACACCGCCGCCGCCATCGCCGACGACGACGACGACGACGCCGACGACGACGACGACGACGACGACGACGACGGCGGCGTGGACGACGACGACGCCGACGCCGACAACGACACCGACGACAACGAGTTTGATGACGACGACGACGACGACAACGGCGGTTCCGACTCCGATTCCGATGACTCCGACCACAATTCCGAGATCATTCGACAACGACGACGATGACACCGACATTCAGACGACTCCGACTCCGACGACAACCTCCGCGACGGCAACGACAACGACAACGACGATTGCGACGACTCTGGCGACGCTTTCGGCGACGACGAAAATTCTGACGATGACCCCATCGACGCCGACGACGGCTCCAAATGTCTCCAACGTTTCCAACCCCGAGTGCGACAATTGTTTCGGCAAGTCTCATGACGATTGCGGCGATGACTCCGACGGCGACGAGTTACGACTCTCGCAGACGACACCGCCGCCGCCATCGCCGACGACGACGACGACGACGACGCCGACGACGACGACGACGACGACGACGACGACGACGGCGGCGTGGACGACGACGACGACGACGCCGACAACGACACCGACGACGACGACGACGACGACGACGACAAAGACGACACCGGCCAGTGACCATCGGAGTTGTCGTTGCTATTGTCGTCGTCGGTATCGTGGTCGTTGTCGTCGTCGACGTCGTCCTTGCTGTCGTCGTCGTCATCTTTGCCAGAATCGGAGTCGGAGTCATCGGAGACGTCGGAGTCGCCGGAGGCCCTCGAGTCGTAGTCGCTATCGTCATAAAGTTCGCCTAATTTCTCGCCATCGTCGTCGTCGACGGAGTCGTCGTCGTCGTCGGAATCGCGTTTGTCGGAGTCGTCGTCTTCGGAGTTAGGATCGTATTTGTGTGAGAGAAAAAAGCCATCGTCGACATAGTTGTAATCTTATTCGTCACCGTCGGAGTCGCTTGAATTATCGGGGTCACGTCGCCGTCGGAGGCGGAATCGTCGGAATCGCCGTCGTCGTCGTCGTCGTCGGAGCCGTCGCCGAAGTCGTCGGCGTCGTCGTCGGGGACGTCGGCATCGTCGTCGTCGGAGTCGTCTGCGTCGCCAGTGGCGAAGTCGCCATCGTAGTTTGAATCGAAATTGTCGTCGGCGTCGGGGACGTCGGCTTCGTCGTCGGAGTCGTCTGCGTCGCCAGCGGCGAAGTCGACATCGTGGTCGGAATCGAAATCGTCGTCGGAGTCGTGATCGGAGTCGTCGTCGTTGCCAGGGCCAGAATCAGAATCATTGAAGTCGTCGTCGCCATCGGAGTCGGCATCGTCGAATTTGTCGCCAATGTCGTCGAAGCCAGAGTCATCGTCGGAGTCGTCGCCGTCGTCGTCGTCGGAATCGGAGTCTTCGGCGACGTCCTCGGAGTCGCCGTTGGAGTCATTCGTCGTCGCCGTCCTCGGAGTCGTCGGCCCTAATGGGCACGCCCGCATGCGGGCTCACGCCAAATTCGACACAACCTTGACGCGGATCGTGCCCCATATCGGGCCCAGTGGTGGTATTTGCATGTTGGCACACGCCGATGCGGTCGTCGTGTTCGCGGAGGGCTCCAGAGGCTTTTCCTGAATGGTAGACATCGTCATGGCAAATCTTTGCGTAACATGATCAATATTGGTTTCATGATCGATCTTTGCACCTTGGCTTCATCAGGGAAAGCCTCACCAACACAAAACACGATGATGGCTATATGATTTGTTTGCTCGTGGGCTTGGTACAGACTAGGGCGGGCAGAGCTTTCGCGCTCCCGCCCTCCATCTTTCTCGCTCTCTCTTGCTTTCTTGTCTTTTCCGTTTTCTCTGTAGGGCTGACCGGAATGTTGGCGTACGTTCTGTCATTGTGCGTTCCCGTTCCGTTGCGGCGTGTCGCTCTCTCCTTACATGGGTCTTCTTCTTCGGGTTGCAGTTGTGACCGTCGTGCGCTTCTGCTTTGTATAAGTGGCCGCTTGGGCCGCAGGGGATATCTGCACGGCGCACTGGCCCTTCCTCGTGCTCCCCTCGCTTGTCCGTATTGGGCATACGAGTCTCTTGGGCATTTCTGTGACGGCGACATTTGAGCCACAGAATTTTAAGATCCATCGATTTCTGGCGGCCGACTCATTCAGGTGATCTGTTGTAGGCGAGCGATTGTGTTGAACAGATCCCCATCCCTCACCATCTCAGCAGCCACGGCGTACGCAATGTATGCGAACCATTGAGACGGCAGGATTCTCCAGGGCAGTCGCCTTCGTCTCAACGACGTGTGGTTGGACGTTTGCTCCGGATGAATCAGTCACCATCTTTGCAGGCACGGTCAATGTTCAAGCCTCCGCACGCCCTCCCCCCCACCGCATCCCGCCCAACTCGTCCCTCCTCCCCCATCCCAGGCAGTGAGAGAATCACCGAAAACCTTCCGAAGCTTGCCGAAATCCAGGCCTTCCGAAGGCCCTTCGGAAGACTCCCCGGAATCCTCAGAGGAAAGTTCCTTCCAAAGTTCTCCACGATGCCTCCCAGAAGGCCTCTGGCAAAGACCTCCCCGAAGAACCTCCGAAGGCCCCCGGAAGCCTCTCCGAGAAGCCTCGCGGAGGACCGCACGTGGAAGGGCACCGACCACGCCGCCTCCCTGGAGCCGGCCGGCCTCACGAAGCTTGTCCGCGACCTGGCCGCGTGCTACACCGCCTGCACGTACAAGGAGTCGTCGTCGTCGTCGTGGTCTCTCGAGGGGGGATGCGACAGAACCTGATTTTGTTGAGGACCGCAGCGCGACACATCGGTGCCCGACCATCTGGCGAGACGGGGAGCGTCGGTTGCCGCCCCCGCCAGAGAATGGCTGCGGCAGATCGTGCTGACCGCAGCTTGGACGGAAGACGACGAGGATCTCGCGGAAACCGAAGTCTGGCGGGGCATTCTGTGCGAGGGCCGAATTTCGGGTCGCGATGAGCTGCGCTCGAGTAGTACATCATCTGTCGTCGCCCTGAGTGTATTGGGAAACGAGAGCAGCAAGAGGAGGCAATTCATCTAGGCAGAATTGGGCTCAAGATGCCCCGGCAGCGCGCGCTCACGCCAGAATGAGTCTCCGCGCCCCTTGGACCACCGATGCGATCCAGATAACCACGGGCACCGTCCCCAGCCACGATGGGGCGGTGATCTGGATTGGCAGCCCGGTAAGGGAGCCAAGTTCTTCCACCTCCCGAGCGGAACGAAATTGAATTGAGTTCAATCGGATCCAGTTTACGAGCAACAGAGGATGAGGTGAACCGAACAGATCGCCCTCATTGTTGTCCCTTGTCATGTACCCCCATAGACAGGCTATGATCGAAAGCACACTGAAGGTACCAAACTGCGGCAGTCTAGCGCCCGGCTTATGCATTACAAGATCCGTTGTGTCGTGCATTTCATGTTCGATCTCGTCGCAATCGGAGTGTCAGTCCAAGTCCCAGATGAGCTTGGAGAACTCTTTGTCCCTCGCCTCCAAATTTTTCGACAAGGACTAGCCGATACTGTACTGCGTGTTGATATCCTGCACATTCGCAAGCATCGTCTTGTCCTCCGTGCCTTTCATAAACTTCACCGCCTCTTCGATAACACGACCAACGGACGCTTTGTCACACATCGCCGCCTCGATCAAGCGGGTATTGTCCTCCGTCTACGTGTCTGGCCGAGTTGATTCACCCGATTCCCCAACAGGTGGAGCAAGGGGGAAAGCCGCAGCGCCCGCTTTGTGGCCGGCCGCAGGCTGCGAGGCGCTCGGGTTCCAGTCAATGCACCCCTTCCGCACCACCGATGTTTCGCCCTGCCTGCTTTCCCTCCTTGCGCGCGTTGCCTGCCTGCTGTACTGACTGACTACTTCTGCTCCCGCAGCTATACTACTTTGGCTATAGGGAAACGGAAAAGGAGCGAGCCTGCGGCGCGCGCGCGTGCGTCGGCCGGCGGGCCGGCCTCCTCCCTTCAGTGTTACCTTAGTGTATGCTTGACGGCACTACCCCTTCTTACCCATGTCATCTGCGGAGCCCACTGACCATACTATATGATCGGAACATAATGCAGGTGTTATGAATATACAGGCAAAAGACGGGTTACCAGCCGAAACGACGGCCGTTCGGTTCGCAGAGCATGGGATCGCAAGAAGGAGCGCTCGGACGAACAGAAGGCCGAATACCTTCCGAGCGCAACGAAAGTATAGGCGCCTCAACGAGGCGACAAAATCCTTTCAACCTTCCCAGAAAGCAAGCATCAGAGAGGGCATTTGACTTAACAGAAGGGGATTCATCGGTTGATTCATTGACAAGGTCCAGAGAGCAACCTTCGAGCGGAAGGTATGGTACAGCCAAAACTTCCGCTGAGGGACCATGTGAGTTGGTGTCGGTACGCCCTGGCTTCCAGCCATCGGTCTACATAGATCTCGGCATGGAAAGGTCGTTGGATCACATCCCCATCGAAACGTCGGGCGCCAAAAGCTAAGGCGCAGAGCACGCGGTGCAGTATACGTTGCATGGACAGAGTGAGGATGTGAGCGGTTTACAATCCGAAGGGGATAGCTCCCATTCGATAGAAAAGAACGGCGAATTTGCCCGATTCCACACCTCGCCTGGTCCATCGCGTCATCTCGATCCTCTCACTGACTGGTGTGTCGGTCTCGCCCCTGGCTCAGACCCGTTAGTAAATATGACGATTGACCATATAACGGTTGAGGCCAGTCAGAAAGCCACCCTTGATTCGGACGATGACCTCGAAGACGGAGGGACCCTAGACCAAGGCGAATGCTCGTCGGCACAGCCGATGTCGACCTACCCCGACGCGATGCGCGCAGTGAGAAATACGCGAGAAACTACAGGCATGACTCCCTATCCGCTGACGAAGAAGCCGAAGGGTGATAACGATGACTTGAATACCTCGCCCTTACTGCAAGGCTTTTACAGACCAGACTGCTCGCTACCCAGGACTAACAGGGACAGGGTGCCAGAACTTGATGAGCTCGCAATGCAGGACGAAAGAGGCGACTTAGCATGGAACATGAACGTTGACACCATCAAGAGAGGCGCAAGAACGAGAGAACAACACACGCCCACTCCCAGCAGTGAAAGGGGGCGCTCCAGTAAGGCCCCCAGGACCGGACGTTCCAGTTTCAGAGGGTTTAACGCTTGTGAATCGCCGCGGATGTCATCGAATAGAACCACCAGCAGCTTCTCGACACGGGAGGGCTGCTGGAACGCCGGGCCAACGCGCCCCACTCGGGCGGGGAATCGCTGCCCGAGGAAGGCGCGCAAACCGGGTGGTCCATGTCGAAGGCCAGTGCGTTCTCAACGTTCGAATGTTTGCCCCAAATGTAGTCCGGCATGGCTTTGTGAGGAGTGCGTCGCGATGGAAGAACACAGTCGCCATCACATCGCGATTCAAGGGTGGGCGGAAAGAAACAGAGGATCGGGAACAGCTGAGGGCTGCGAGTGCACATATACAACAGATCATCTCTGAGGCGCAGGAAAATAAGAAGGCCGCCGAAGAGGCTCAACGACGGCTTGCAATCTCTGAGGCTGCGAGACAAGCAATTGCACAAAAGATGGAGCATGAGAACCATCACTGTGGAAAACGCGCAGAAACTGATGCAGCATGCCGAGGCAAACGTAGCAGGCGTTACGGACGAAGCACACCGGCGCCTTGCCCAAGAGGCGGTTGCAAGATTTGAGAATCCAGAGCATAGTTGAACAAGTGGCGTCGGGCTCTCAGCAGAAGGCCGAAAGAAAGCTGAATACAGAGAGAAGGCCGATGCAGCGAGAAGGGAAGGAGAGAAAGAAGCCCGAGAACAAGCAGCGCGAGAAAATCAGGAGCTCCGCGATCAATTTGAAGCTGCTAGACTCGAGGCCGAAAGAGTGAAATCCGAAGCCCCGCGAGCCCTTCGAGAACAAGAACAGAAGACCCAGGCAACGAGAGATGAGGACCAGAAAAGAATGGCCGATGCCTGGGACCGTCTGAGGGGACACGCAGATGAACAGATAAGGAACAACGCGCTTGCAACTCGGGCCGTGAGCGGGGAAAACAGGAGGTTGAGGTCTGACCTTGAGCAACGCCGGATGGACAAAGAGGTCGAATCAACACCGGCACAGCCAGCGCGCGTTGAGCCGCCTCCTCGCCCAATCGCTGCTCGCCCCATTAGGGCGCCCGGCGCCTCGCAAGCCCATGCCCAGCGGGCAAGCAATGATCCCGGTGAAAAGGCACCGAGACACTCGGCCCCGGCTAAGGATAGTGAACCCCAACGCCAGATGAGCAATTTTGCCGATATTATGGGCGCGCCAGTATCCTCATCAGAAAAGCCGGATCTTTGTAAGATGCCGACGTTGACCGCTCCGTCGATACCAACGCTTCCTCTCGCAAAAACGCATTTCATTCCTGGACCGGCTGTCGAGAAGACCTCGGGAGCGAGTGAAGGTCCGATGCGGGGGGGCGCCCAAGGAGCGAATCCTGGAAATGTCCTTTTCAATGCGAAGATATCGGATCACCCTAGTAAGCTCGACTCCCGTGGACACCTCCCTTTCACCATCGGCCCAGCCGTCTCCGGCGAAGGACGCGGACACCCGGGAGGCCGCGACGACGATCAGAGAGATGATCAGAGCACAGCTCCCAGCACAGGAATGATTGTTGCGGCACAGTTTGACGATACGGGCAAGCCCAAGCCACCTAGAGGCCCTCCAAGGGGACCCGGTGGTGACGGCGACCCAGACGGAGATGGCGGCGGGGGGCCGAATGACCACAAGGGCCAGTTTTGGCGGCCATTTCACGCCGACCAAATGGACATAAGTTGGGCAAGTTTGGGAGGCAATGCAATTTGCTCGACGTACCGAGCGCCCCAACACTCCGAGAATGGAAGCAACATTGTATAAGAGCGGTAGCTGGATCATGGCATGACGTTCGCGCGGCACAGACATGGGTCAGCGAAGCCATGGACCCTGACGTGCCCAAGGAGAATCTTAGAAACTCGGGGGCATTGATGCGCCTTGACATGATGATCGCTACAAACCTGCTCGAGAAATTTGCAATGATGAAGCGTAACCAACGTCTGTCGGTGCAACATACTTATTTCCTGTCACAAATCAATCGCATGGAGCATTCGCGTCAGATAGAGGGGTGTCTCCTAACGGGCCGAGAAATAATATGAGCAATATGCGTTTGGTGTTCTGTCAGATCGGAGAGCGGACAACACTGGATATGCCGAGACCTCTTCAGACTGAGCACTGATCGACAAAAGCCCAATCAGGACTTGCACCATATCTATAGTGAACGGATGGAGCGGCACCAAGACGTGCACGGTGCCAGGGAACCGTCGGATGAAGTACAGGCTTCGATACATGCACATCTCCACGAACAAATCAGACAGGTTCCGAGGCTTGAGTATGCCATGCAGTGGTATGAATTGTCGACAGATCCCCCGGGCACGGGAATGCGCACTTACCAATGGCTCTTGCTCCAGGTAGAGTCTCTCATGCTACGGGTCAGAGAGCAGTGGGCAATCTCTCAACATGAACCGACTCTCAATTCTAGGAATAGACAGGCCCGCCTAACAGGTGGGACGAACGAGGGTGGCGGGGGCGGAAAGAGAGCCTCTGCTATGGCAGCAACAGTCCATCGACTAGGACTGCCCACGGATAAGACGGCGAGCGGGAGAAAAAAAACGACAAGTGAGACAACCTGCTAGTTCAT